CTTAAATCCTACTTATCTATATGATTTTACAATATGCTTGTAATGATAATTATATAAATTGTTGTTACTACATGTGGATTACGGGACAATGAACGGTAATGAAATGGCTTGCGTCAGTACACGTTTGAAAGTGATCCTTTATCGCTGTTGCTCGTACAACTCTCGAGCTCGGTTGAATGTTGCTCGTGCAACTGTCGACATCTGACTGACACTTGTGCGTGGATCCGTGAGCAAATTATATAGTAACCCCAGCAACCATGGCAGTTTCTGCAGATACTACTAGAGCCCAAGTTTAAAAGACGTAGGCAGTAGTTAGTTTCTGTAGTAAGCCAGGGACCCCGTGTGGTGAGATTGTGGGGTCGTAGAACCCACGTTGGAGGCGCCAGGGACCCCGTGTAGTGAGATCGCGGGGTCATAGAACCCCCGGTGGAGGCGTCAGAGACCCCGCGCGGTGAGTTCGTGGGGTCACAGAACTCCGGCAGTTGGCGCCACAGACCCTGTGTGGTTGGAGCGTGGGGTCATGGAACCCCCGGTGGAGACGCCAGTGACACCGCGTGTGTGTAAAACTGGTTCATTCAACCACCGTGCATGCGTAAGAGGCCCCGCGTGTGTCGGATGTACACCCACGAGCAAACTCGGCTTTCAGTAGGAGAAAAAGTGACGTAGGATAAGGGCCTCCTACCACTTGGTAAAATGCATGGTAATTTGTTATAAATTTGAGATACTTCCAAATTCAAAACGGGTAGTTTCCTATATTATTCCAGAATTGGCCGCTTGGTGCAGCACTTGCCCGGGGCACTCTCATCTCTCATTTCCCTTTTGATATAAGGGTTACATTGTTACATACCTACCTGAAAGGCACATTGACGATCAGCCACGTGTTTGTGGTTAGGGAGATAACATAAATAAACTTTATTATATTGAAATAATGTTACAGGTTTGAGGACCGAAGTTATCACAGCATAATGAAGCGCACAAGTAACTCTTAAATTATATGATTTACATTTATTTAATCTGCGGTGTGCTTAGGATAATCGTTTTTAAACAAATTTTATATTTACAGGAGACAAATATCGTGGGAGACCACCCATCAGCCCAGAGAAATTAGCTAAACATTCTAAAGGCTTAGGGATTAACTTGAAGACAAAAGCATCCAGAATAAAGAATAAAGTACAAATACAGAAGTTAACAAAAAAAGAAAAGATTATAAAACGTACGATAAAAGATACCGCTCGAGCGGAGTTACTTTTGACCGAAGAATATGGTTGTTTGGAAGCCGACGCAGGCGAAGTAACAACGGGATTCAAGCAGAAACAGATTGTAGATAATGTAGACATAACCAGTGCAACTAAGCACTTTACATTAAGGCTAGACTTTGGTCCTTATTATGTGAAGTATACAAGGAATGGTAGGCATTTAGTTTTGGGTGGAAAAAAAGGACATGTAGCTGCTTTAGATTGGGTTACAAAGAAATTAGCCTGTGAGATGAATGTAATGGAATCAGTGCACGATGTATGTTGGTTACATGTAGAAACAATGTTTGCTGTGGCACAAAAAGAATGGGTATACATTTATGATAACGAGGGAATTGAATTACATTGTATGAAGCAAATGCACAAAGTTAACAAATTGGAATTCTTACCATATCACTTCTTACTTGCCAGTGGCTCTAGAGAGGGTTATTTGACTTGGCTTGATGTTTCTATAGGAAAAATTGTTAATTCCTATAATGCTAAATTGGGAAATTTACAAGTAAGGTTATATAATACATATAATGTTATATAATATATAATACATAAACATTACACAGATAGAGTAATGAATTATTTTGCAGACAATGACTCAAAATCCAAGTAATGCAGTACTCTGTGTGGGTAATTCCAAAGGAGTAGTTTCTATGTGGTCACCAAATAATAAGGAACCGCTAGCAAAAATGTTGTGCCATACTCAAGCTATAAATGCTTGTGCGGTTCATCCATATGGAACTTATATGGCTACAAGTTGTCCAGCTAGATTTGTGAAGATTTGGGATGTCAGGCAATTGACAGGCCCAGTGTATAATTATCGTACACACTCTCCTGTTCAGCAGCTGTCTTACAGCCAGTGTGGTCAGTTGGCAATGGCAATGGGGAATATAGTAGAAGTATATAGGTGAATATATACATAGTAATCTTTCTGTATGTAATGGTTACAGGAAATTCTTTATAAACATTTTAATCTTTGTAATCAGACCTTCAGCGGATGAAATAAAACCGTATATGCGGCACAAGGCAGATTGGACCGTAACTAGTATGCAGTTTTGTCCATTCGAAGACGTCCTAGGTATCGGTACGACGAGAGGAGTATCCTCTCTTCTGATACCTGGAAGCGGTGAAGCTAATTTTGATGCCTTGGAAAGCAATCCGTTCCAGACTAAGAGACAACGACGCGAGGCTGAAGTTAAGGCTCTTCTAGATAAGATTCAGCCTGAGCTCATTACTTTAGATTCAGTTGCCATAACAGAGGTAGATGTGCCTAGTTTGAAGGATAAAATAGAAGCAAAGAAGAATCTTTTGGTAAGTGTTAATTAGAATGAAATTACTCGGATTAAAAATACCATGACAAACTATTAATATATCATTTGTGTACTGTGTTTGCAGTATCTTAAACCAAAGGATGTAGACTTTAAACCACGCAGAACAAAAGCTAAAGGAAAGGGAGGAACAGCTAAAGTGATTAAAACTAAAAAGATTCTGAAAGACTTGAACCGAAGAGTGAGTGTTCGTTATAATGCTCATTATGTATATGTGTATATTGTAAATATTAAATATCAATTATTTCAGGAACATATCGATATTGTACGAAAGGCAGATGTATTGTCGGATGTGAAGAAGATAGAACCTACGAGGGATTATGGAGTATTAAACAGATTCGTATCAAAATCAAGATAACACATATTACTGATATTATACTAGTTAAGACGCATTGTATATGTGTGTAGATTTGTCTATTTCTAATTAAATCTTTTTCTTTTTAATAAAGTATATGAATTGCGTAGCTCAGTATTGTAGAGTTCTACTTAAAATGCTTGATTTATTTCGTGAGATAATTAATTCATAGATACTTCATATATTGATACAAAGATCAAACTAGAAAATGCGTGCTATAAATAAAATCAAGATTCCTGATGTATAATATCCAAGATCGGTTACATGTACGTTGTGTTAAAGTAGCAAGGTGTTTAATAAAATGAGTAAGCGTCTTACGTTTCTGCTGCTATAATTTAATCATCGTTGTAGTAAAAAGAGAATAATTTATGTAACTGGAATTAATTCTGGAAAAGAGTGCGAGTAAAATCAATATAATCTAATGCCCCTGTGATTGGACGTTCTGTCTTCGGGTCCACGTACGGTTTCATACGGGCAACGCAATAATCGGCCATCTCCTTGGTAAGGTTCTGGGAAGTAAATGTATCGTACGTAAATAATAATTACATGAACAAGTAAAACAATCTGTTCAGATCTATACTTACAGCATACAATTCCTCCTTCGTAACATATGGCCGATCTGCGGCTGTAATAGCACGGAAAGCATTCTCAATTTCTTCGGAACTTTGGACATTTTCGGTTTCCTTACTGATCATAAATGCCATGTATTCTTGCAACGACACATAGCCGTCTCTGTTGGGATCCACGATATCTGAAAACAATAAAACAAACGATATCACTAAACCCTTGCTTAATGTAAAAACGTAGAAAAATAAAATGAGAATAAAAATAACAAACCAAGGATATTTTCGAATTCCGGATCTGGCTGGCCTTCCTCCACCATCGGTAGATCATACCCAAGTGCCCTCAGACAAGACTTGAATTCTTGATGGTTTAGACGTCCACTCTTGTCTTTGTCGAAATGTTTAAACATCATGGAGAATTCTTTGAGGGCATCTTCCGAGACACCTGACTGGTTGCGTGCCTGTATCTGTTGTTCCAAGTTGTGTTGCATACGCATTCCCAGCTGATCCAACTGATCCCATTGCTGTGCTAATCCTACGGTACTGTGCTCTGTATACCGGTTATCCAGAATTAAGTGTTCCTCCAGAATTGCACCTAGATCTTCTATCTTCTTTAAGTCTTGACGACGCGCACGGACCTCTTGTGTCTTCCTCTTCGTAGCTTCCAGCTGTTGTTCCAATGATCCCGATCCTTCCATCATAGATGTCCTAGTTTCTGCCAGCCACTGGTGGAACGCATTGGCGTGCTTGGCGAACTCTTTGCGAAGTTTGTCATTCTCTTCTTGCCGTTCAGCCTCTTTCACGAGTTCCACGTCCCGTTCTTTTATTATTTTCTGCAGGTTTCGCCATGTATCTTCCAATGCTTCCATTGTGAACCACGTGTACGGATTGGGGCCGACATTGAAGCCTTTGATCTGTCTGTCGAGAGCAGCCAGGGCATCGAAGTCGGCTTCGGCGGATGATAAGCTCGTTTGGAAATACGCGTGAGCCTCTCTTAAAGCTCGAATTTCCTCGATGCTGTTGCAACGAACAGGGTCGGTCAAGTCTTCCTCGGCGTTTTCGAACCACGAATTAAAAGCGGATGCCTTCTTGGCGAACGTCAAATACAGCTCTTCGATCTGTCTGAATTGATCCTGCATCCTCAACAGACGTTGCTTCCTTGCATCGGAATCGGCCAAAAGTTTCTGCCAACGAGCAATCACATCGGCATGACGTTTCTGAATGCTAGGCGTCTGGTCGTGTCCAGACTCTACAAGCATCTCCTTCAACGAAGTGATATTCTGAATTCCTTCGTGTTCGAACGCGTGTAGACCTGCGTCGAAGGTCTCCTGTTTGGTCAAAAGTGTCTGAACGGTGGACAAATCGCGACCAAATTCCTCCGAACGCACATGGGTCTCTTTGTCAGCGATCCAGGACTCAACGACATCGGCCTTCCACATGAATTGCAGATAAGCAGAATTGTCGTTGAGTCTGGTCTTCCTTCTGGCTGCAAGAGCGCCGAGCTGTTCCAATTTGTTACGAAGCTGGGCGCATCTTTGACCAATAGCGTCGGCACGATGATTTCCAGCTTTGATCAAAGTCTCGCCAGCTTCGCAGATGTCCTTGCAACGTTCACCGTGGGCAGCAAAATCGGTTTCAAACGCGTCGTGCTTCTTCAGTAAACCTTGCACAGCCGCCATAGTGTCGCCATAATCTTCAACGGACAGCAGTTGCTGCTTCTCCGTGATCCAAGCTTCCTCTTCTTCGACCTTGGCCAGGAATTGCTGATACGTCAATGATTCGTCCAACTTTTGCCCTCTATTGGCGGCTAATTGTTTCAGTTCGGCCCATGCCTGATTCAATAACTTCAGACGTTGCTCTATCTCGGGCACGCCGAGATTCGAAACGTCCATCAGTTTTTCTCCGGCTTCCTGGACAGCCTGTATAGCAGGCTCGTGGCTGCCGAGTTCGGACTCCAATCTCTTGTGCTTTTTCTTCAGGTTCTGAACACCGGTCAAATCACGGCCATAATCATCGGAGCCGACCAAGAGTTTTTTCTCCTTGATCCAAGATTCCTCGTCGGCAATATCTCTGAAGAACTGATGCAAAGTGTTGGCTTCATTGAGTCTGGCTTGTCTGTGAGCGGCCAGATTACGGATTCTTTCGTAGCGTTCGTTTATGCTCTGTCGTTTCTCTTGGATGCCGGCTGCGTCGAATTGGCCGCTTTCTATCAGCGAATCCGCCTGAGCATTCATGTCCTTGATCCTTTCCTCATGCGCCTGAATATCGGCTTCCACCAATTGATGTTTCTTCATCAGGTTCTGTACAGAGGCCAGATCTTTACCCGCATCCTCGGAGGTAAGTAAACTCTCCACTTCACCGAGCCAGAAATCGAGATCCTTCACCGCGGCGATGTATGTGCGTTGTTTGTTCGCCTCCTTTAGCTTCATAGACTTCTCTGTTGTTTTCTGGGTAAGGTACTCCCACTGGTCGGCGATCGAAGCGAGCCTCTTCTGAACAGCATCCTCGGAACCTGCACACTGGTGTTTCTCTATTAGATTACCACCCATGGCGAGAACAGATTGAATCCTGTCGGCGTTCGCTGCCAACTCGGCCTCGAACGCTTGATGTTTCTGATGCTTGGACTGAATATTCGCTGGGTCTTTGTAATTCTCTTCGGTAGCCAATTGCAGTTTTTCAGCGATCCAATTCTCCATTTCATCGGCGTCTCGCGAGAACTGCTGCAGCGTCTGGGATTCGCCCAATTTCGAGCGTTTCTCGATAAGGGCATCCTTAAGGTGCTTCCAACGATCGAGGACTTGGCAACGTCTATCATCGATCGGCTTCGCGGCATAGTGTTCGGCGGCTATCAACTGATCCGCGAGGGTTTGAAGAGTAGCAATTTTCTCTTCGTGAGACTTGATCGCTTTGTCGAAGTCTTCGTGCTTTTTGATGAGAGCTTCGACATTGTCGCTACTGTCCACGGTGTCCGCGCTGCTCAAGAACGCTTCCCTGGCGCTCATCCAGTTCTCGGCCTGTTCGCAGTCCCTGCAGAATAGCTGCAATTCCAGATTCTGGTCAAGTTGCATACGCCTTTGGATCCAGGCTTTCTCCAGTTCTTGTCTTGCTTCGGACATGGATTCCAACTTCTCCTGAATCTCAACGCTGGCATAGTGACTCGACTGTAGAAGTTGCTGGCCGAAAAGTTCGAACGCTTGGAAGGTACCCGCTCTGGCGTCGATCTCCATTCGATGTTCCTACAACACAAAAGAATAACGATTTATGCGAACCGTTCGAACAAGTCAATGGAACACCGCACACACATGTTCTGCATATATTTCAACCCATTCGATAATAGACACTACGACTAAGCAGCGGAAAATATAGCGATCGCGCTATGAGAAGCAAAGAGAATTGTTCCAAGTGTTAATAGAGGCGTAACTGTAATTAATCGTATAAATATATACTCAGAGGCGAAACGTCGCACATTGTTCGATTCATGCTCAAACACATTGATACCTCTGGAAGTATGCCGTATCGTGCGTCTATCTCTGCTCTGTGATTCTATAATTTAAATTACTCGTGAACGATCGTTCGATCGGGGAGCTTTTGAAAATATCCATAAATGCTTCGGCTGAACTGAAACACCTACCTGATGACGATCCAGTAAAGCTTCAGCACCGGTGCAATCGGACGCCAACTCTTCGGAAGCCACCAGACCCATCATTGAATTGATCCAAGCCATTAGATCTCTGTAATCGCTGAGGAAACGTTGCAGATCATAAGAATCTAACAATTTCTCCTTTCTGCTGTTGGCCTTCGCCGTCAGCTGAGTCCATTCCTCGTTTATCTCATTCTGTTTGGCATAGGTCTGCTCCGCGGTCTCGGGATGGCTTAGCATCAGACGATTCGCTGTCTCGTCCAACTGCTTGATCTTATCGCCCAGAGCAGCCAGATCTCGCTCGAGACCTTCGTGTTTCCGTTGCAGTGCTTGCACGCTACGTAAATCCTTTCCGAGGTCGTCGTTATTCAGAGCCGCATCTTTCTCGCGAATCCAGTCCTTGGTCTCGTCGACATCACGATGGAAGCGTTGCACTTCGTGAGCGGAGCCCAACTGATTCGCACGCTCAGCGGTAAGAGTCTGCAGGCTGGTCCACTTTTCATTCAGGTCTTGAATCTGCGTTTGAATTTTCAAAGCCGCCTCTGTTTGTCCCAAGCTCATCAGCTGTACAGCGATCTCGTTCATCTCGGCCAGTCGGACCTCATTTGCCTTCAAATCCGCTTGGAAGTCGTCGAACTTCTTCTGCATGACCTCCACCTGCTCCAGGTCCTCACCAACATCCTGAACCTGTGCATGATTCTCTTTGTCCTTGATCCATGTGGCCAATTCGGCAGCTTCTCGAACGAGCACGTAAGCCTTCGCTGTTTCGTTCAACTTGTTCTGTCGTTCGCGCGCGAGTCTCAAAAGATCATCGTATTGACCTTCGATCTGCGCCTGCCTGGCTGCTATTGAACTCTGTTCTCGGGCCAGGTTCTGCTGAGACGCACTGAGTCCCGCTTCAGGTTCGACCCTCTTCACGTATGCAGCTGGAACGAAGCCCTGACGATCGTTCACCTCGACCTTCCACCAGTCCTTGTTGTTGGAGTTCAGCAAAGTCAACGTATCGCCTTTCTTCATGGACACTTCTCTCGGGGATTTCTCGGTGTAATCGTAGAGAGCAACGACGCATTCTTTGCCGGTAATATCAACAGTGGGAGTTTCCTGTTGACGGCAGGACTGAGCCTGTTCCTTTAGCGCAGCTATGGTACTTGCAAAAGCCTCTAAATCGCTGACCAACGCTTCGTGTTTCTTCAAAAGTGCTTCAGAGCTGTCCTCGTCCTTTCCGTAGTCAGCGTTCATCACGATGGGTCTCTTCTCCTTCATCCAAGATTCGGCTTCGTTCGCGTCCGCGAAGTACTGGTGCGCTTGAAGAGAATCGTCCAGATCAGTTTTACGCTGTCGAGCTTTCTCTTTCAGCTGTCCCCAATGTTCGTCCAGAGCGGCCAAACGTTGACTGATCTCTTCGGCGGCAAAATGGCCTTCCTGGAGCATCGTTGCTCCCGCTTGGCATACAGCTGCCACGCGCGGCTCGTGGTTATTGATTTCAGCCAGTACAGCCTGATGTTTCTTCTGCAAGTTTTGAACACCGATGAGATCACGACCACGATTGGTGGATGCTGCCACGGGTTCCTTCTCGCGAATCCAAGCTTCTTCGTCCTCGATGTCGCGGAACAATTGCTGTACTTGCAAAGAGTCGAGGAGTCGTTGTTTACGGATGCTCATCGGCCGTTGCAAAGCGGCGTATCGAGCCTGTAGCTGATCCTGCTTGACTTTGATGTTGTTGGCGTCGAAGTGACCAGATTTTACAAACTGTTCGGCAACCTGGGCGATACTGTCGATTCTGTCGGAGTGAGAGGCAACGTCAGCTTCCAATAACGCGTGTTTCTTTTGAAGATTTTGCACGCTGGTCAAGTCTTTACCGTAATCCTCCGACATCAGTTGTCCTTCGACCTCTGACAGCCATAACTCGATATCTTCGACGGTGCGATTGAATTGCTGTTGTTGAGATGCTTCCTGTAATTTTGCTCCCTTCTTCTCGGTTGCGTGTGTCAGACAGTCCCAAAGCATCATGATCTCGTCGGTACGGGTTCGAATTCGGTCGCTGGCGTAATGGCCGCTCTCGATAAGTTCCTGACCGGTTGCCACCATCTCTTCCATACGTGTTCGGTTGGCATTCAATTCTTGCTCGAAATTCTGATGCTTCTGCACCTTACCGTTCAAATTAGTGGGGTCCAAATAGCTGTCGTCGGTGGCAAATTTCAATTTCTCGTTAACCCAACCCTTAGTTTCGTCGCAGTCCCGCTCGAATTGCTGCAGCTTGTACGCATCCTCCAAACGACGTCTTCTCTGAGCCGATTTCTCCAAGAGGACTGCGCGTCTTTCCAACAAGAACTGACGTCTCTGCGCTACATCATCCGCCGCGTAATGTTCTCCTTCTATCAGCGTACCGGCAAACTCATCCAATATCTTGATCTTGTCTTCTTGAGCTGCAAGCGACTTGTCAAAATCTTCGTGCTTCTTAATCAGAGCTTCCACGCTGTCGAGGGAATCACCCAGATCCTCGTTTGCTAGAAAAGCTTCTTGCTTGGCCATCCATGCGTCTGCCTGTTCCGTGTCTCTGTAGAATAACTGCAAGTCCACACACTGTTCGTACAAGATTCTTCTTTTCTCCCAGAGGCTCAACAGAGACTGTTTATCTTCCGCCAAAGAATTCAATTTTCTAGCTACTTCTTCAGCAGCATAATGTTTCTTCTCGAGGAGTTTATTACCGGCTAATGTAGTCGCATCAAAGCTATCGGCTCTAGCGTCGATTTCACCCTTGTGTTCCTGATGTCTGTCAACAAGGGCTTCTGCACCAGCTACATCTTTAGCCAATTCATCCGCGGATATAATCGCCCGCATGTCATTCATCCATGAAACCAAGTCTCTATAATCAGCCAAGAATCTGTGCAAATAATAAGATTCGTCCAGCTTCAAACGTCGTTCTTTAGCTTTTGCAGTAAGGCTCTCCCATGATTGTAAAATTTCTGCACGCTTAGCTTGAATCTGTTTCGAATGATCGGCCTGATGAATAGCTGCCAGACGATCGGCTTCAGTTCCTAGAGAATATACTTTGTCTTCCAATGCTGCCAAATCGCGTTCTATGCCCTCGTGTTTCCTCTGCAGTGTTTGTACGCTGGCAAGATCTCGACCAAAGTCGTCCGAAGACAGAACAACATCCTTCTCGGCGATCCAAGCCATTGTTTCATCCGCGTCTCGATTAAATCTTTGAATCTCATGTGCTCCAAAGAGTTTTTCTTGTCTCAGCACAGCCAGCTGTTTAAGTCTTTGCCAGGATTCGTTAAGCTCCTCTTTTCTACGTAGAATGGTATCTCGCTCGGGATGACCATCCAGGAGAAGTTTGTCTGCCAGCTCATTTACTTCGGTCACTCTATATTCTTGGCTAGCCATATCCTTTTGAAATTCGTCAAATTTTCTTTGTAGTACTTCAACATGTTCCAGATCATGTCCAAATTCATCGGTTGTTACAAATGCTTCTTTATCATGAATCCAAAACATTACTTCGTCGCAATGTCTAAGAAACTGCACAAGTACTAGGGCCTGTTGCAATTTCAGACCCTTGTCCGCCAATCTGGACAGCAGCAACTCCCACAAACGATGAAGCTCCTCTGTAAGAACACAATGGAATGCCAATGAAATACACTGCGTTCAGTGGAAATCACAGATGGTAGTCAAAACACAATTTAACAAGGGACAATAAATTATAATGTATGAATTCACCTAATCTTTTACGAATCACGTCACTAGCAAAGTGATGCTGAGCTATCATCTCGGAGCCTGTGTTATCAAGTGACACTATAGCATTTGAATGAGCTGCCACTTCTGCCTCGAATGCTTGATGTTTTTGTATCTTTGCTTGAAGATTTGTTGGATCCTTGTAACTTTCGTCCGAAGCTGCTTGCAATTTCTCGTAAATCCATCCTTCGAGTTCGTCTGCATCTCGCTTAAAATACTGTCAACAAACAAATTTCGTTAAACAATGCACGAAATCAGCAACGAAAAACTGTACAATTAAAGAACGAACCTGAAAGCGACGGGAGTCCTCGAGCTTGTCTCTCTTGTTACGAGCTTCTGCTTTGAAATTCGCGTATCGACCCAATACTTGTTCTCTCCTCTCCTGAATGTCTTCTGGATTTTCCAGAATTTTCACTTCTTTCGGCGTAATCTGATCCATCTTGAGAGCTATTTACCGTTTGATGTTTGTAGAACAATCAGTTTCGTCCAAAATGGCCACGGGGAGTGGCAAAGTTGATCGCTGTGAAATCAATAACAATAGCCTAAATACTACTGTTTGTTCATTGATGTCTCTTAATAATTATTGATCTACACCACTTCGTCTTGATTATTTCTACACGAAACAGCACAAAAGCGACACGTACTTGTCACAATTTTTTTCAACAGCTGAGACAATGACATCCACACTTCTTCCTGGTTCGATACTGACTGCGGACTTCTACGTGTATAACAAGCGGGAGGAGTACTTTCTCCTGAATCCGTGCTAGCTATTGGTCGATTGCTCGAGCGTTCAGCCAATCGGACGCCCTCTTAAGAGGCGCGCGCTTTATCAATTGAGTTCATGTATAAGCGTTACGTCATCGTGGCATCATCATCTTTATAAGGAACTACCAAAAGCGGATAGGAATTTAAAGTGTTCCGACTTTATCCGTGATTTATATCTTATGTACAGATAATGTGTTTACGATTCGATTTTTTCATTTCTTCCATGCGTTTTACTTAATCATGAAGGTTTTATTCTCCTTTATAGGTCACTAAATGGTAGGGAAATGGTAATATTTATGATACAGTAATCTTTTATTAAATTTCACCTACAAACAACGAATCACAGAACGTTACATTAGAGTTCCTTACGTCAAACCATCGTGTTTTCGTATTATTTTACAGGTAAATAATCATAGATTTATCCCTATTACAGTAAAGTCTTATTTGTTAAAATATCTTGTAGCGTAGTCGATCGTAATGTAATATGTAAATTTAATTCACCTAAAAATAGGATTTTTCTTGTTGCAGTGTCATCGTTCATTGTTTATAAGTGGATGTTATCGTGTATAGAAGTGGTACTATTCATAGGTACTTGCTTTTTTGTCCATTGTACTCTGATGTATTTCCTTGTGTTTCTATCTCTCTCAATCTCTCTATCTTTCGCGCTCGCGTTCTTTCGCTCTCTCTCTCTCTCTCTCTCTCTCTCTCTCTCTCTCTCTCTCTCTCTCTCTCTCTCTTTTTATATCTTACATAATTTTTGTATTCTTTTAATATATATCTTTCGTCTAATACGCGTATGTAAAGAATGCGATATGAAAAAAGTCTTTGTGTACCAAAAATTGTTTCTGAATTTCTCTTACTTTTTTTTTTTTAATTTTTCTTCGCGCTTTTCGTTTGTTCGTTACTCTTGACAGAAAAAAATTAAAAAATTCTATGCCGACGAAGGGGGTTCTGGGGGATATACGAGGGGGGCGGCAGGGGGGGTGGATGGATGAGTGGGGAGTTACGTGAGGTTCCTTTAAGTACTCTGGACAAAGTCGATGGTATTTCATTTTACGATACAAATTGCTAGAACTTCTTTTTTTTCATTAATATGTTTTCTTTGTTAGAAGGCAACACGTCTTTGTTAATTACGAGAAGGCAATTCGCTTTGTATCATCGGTATGTCTGACGTCCCAACGCATATTTCTCCTGGACTCTCAACAACGCGCGTAATAATTTCATGTAACTTTTATAATATGCTTCTTTCTTTCGTTCTCTTGATGTGGCAGAAAAATGCACGGGACCGTTTACAGGCATTATTGGCAGCACTTGATCGTTTTTTTCATTCATCATTATTTCTTTCTCCACAATTAATATTCGTCTTCTTCTTCTTCCGTTCTATCTTATTATTACTATTATTATTATTATTAATATTATTATTTCTTCACTGTGTTTCCTTATCTTCTTCATCGAAATGTTTTGGAGGTATGATCTCGTCGAAGGACCAAGGTGTTTCAGAGAGCAAACCGTACTCCTCTCTCCAGAAAAAAAATAATAAAACAAAACCAACTATCTCACTAGGCTCTCTTTCTATCTTCCGCGCGTTCTTTCTCTCGGCTGTCCCTCTCTCTCCTGTTTCTCTTTTGTTTCTTCATCCCTCGTGTTCACGACCGTTAACCAACGCGTAATGGTTCTTCCTAAGTATTATTTCTCAACGAATCTTTTTTTATGTACAAAAACTTATCGACTATAGGATACGCTTGCACTCGTACGTCACGTCCTCCGGGCGGCGGAGAGGATTTTGGGGGCGGTGAGGAAGTGCATGTGGGCCGTCAATAAATTAAATTTCACTCTAACTTATCGAGTTTCGAACGCCCCACACACACATGCGCACGCTCGCACGCACACGCGCACACACACACACACATTTCGAAAACTTTATGCTCGGAATAATGCGACCAGACATTTTGCAACTATCTGCGTAACCGCGTGGCGCTTAACAATTTTTCTCATAATATAACCAACGTTTTGAAATATATATTTATATATATGTATAGTATTTGGAAGTTGTACACCCGAATGTATATTGCTCGCAAGTTCGTCCGCTCTATTGGTGCACCACTTCGTACAGCTCAACTGTGCGGGTGATGGGAGAGTGGACCACGTTCTTAATTAATTTTTTCCATTAGGGGATATCGTGCGCGCACGCAAACGCGTGTGTGTGTGTGTGTGTCTGGCCGCATTACGTGTGGAACACAGACCTGTCCCAGAGATGTTCCGGCCAGTAACGCATTGTTCCTCGTTTTTGTTTTTCTCCAAACAGTGTAAGGGTGGTGATGTGCACCCACGGGGACAGGTCTGATCTTTTTCGACCTACATATACCCATCCTGTCACGCGGTACTACAAAAATGATGAATGCGTTCGCGACAATGATTTTGACTTCGTAGTCTACAAAACATGATCTCTCAGACGTTCTTAGGTATATATATATGTATATTTTTATATGTATTTTTGACGGTTCTGGGTATAAATAGGTAAAACGGTACGATGTCTCTGGATTTTCATGAGCGTAACAGTGTGCGTTAGAAGACGTCGAGGCTCCGAGCACAGACGCGATCGAATCTCGAAATCGCCCGTTTGGCTCTCGACGTCGAGGTATATAAAAAGACAAGGAATAATGATGAATACGATTCACGATTACCGAACGAGACGGTTCGGTCCTTTGCCTCCCCCATTTCGAAAGGAAACAGAGACATTGTACGTGGACGCGCGCCTAAACTTCCTCGTGCACCGACGTGACGAAAAGAAAATCTCATAGAGACACATTAACTCGCTCCATTTACTACATAACATACAATATATATTCATATAATATATATATATATATAATATTCAATAATATATATACTAAAGGTGTACTTTATATATACAGAGATATATAATGTCTGTTTTCAATAATCTTTTTTTTATGAATTAGTAACACTAGCTTGCTAAATAACATTCTTGGACCTCATGTGTATAGCCAGCACCTTTACGTTGTTGAACCCTCAGCTCGAACAGAAGAGTCGCCCTTTTCGCTTATATTTAAAAAAATATAGTGTGTACGTGTGAATTGAGTGTGAGTGTTTGAGAGTGTGGGATGTTTTCTGTCTATGTGACACGTGTGTGTATGTCTGTCTGTCTGCTGCGCTTGTGTGTAAACCCTCCCTGAGCTCGCTTCATCGTTTCCGTTTTATCCTTTCCTCCGTTTCCAAATCTTTTCACAGCCCTCGTATTTCGTTTCGTATTTATTTTTGTTTATTCTCCGTCTTTTTTTTTTCTTTAAAAAAAAAAACATTCCACTTCGCGTGTGTGTTACGTATGTGTATGTCTCGATTCCACTCTTTTTTTTCTCTTTCTTCTCGTATTTCCCGCTCGACGACGCGATATATATATATATATAACAAAAATTTCTCCATCCATGTTTTGTTGTTGTTGTCTCTAGGTAACATACATAATCCGTCTAATATACAATAAATAATTTATCGCGCTCTCTCGAATGTACAATTGTTCGCCCTACACATTCCGACTATACGTTTTACCGTTTAAGTAAATTTGTCCATACTAGATTTATCTTTTTCTCTCTCTTGATTAAAATACATTTAATAACACTTGTGCCGTAGCATCCGTTTTCTCTCCGTTTATACCCTTTTACAAACTAAATTTTTTTGTACAAATTTGAACGAGCTCAACGCATTATACATTATATTCATATATACCTTCTTTTTTTCATATATAAACGTTGTAAAGCTTAGTACGATTATCATCGACGCATCGACCGTCGAAAACAAAACAAAAAAAAACCCGAAAAAGAAAGACCAAAAGGAGGACGAAATTTTACGGTAGCACGGATCACGGCTACCGTGCGCGCACCGTTGGCGCATATAGACTGTCGATTCACGTCGATTCGAAACTTTCATCTTCTCGCGACGTTTGCTCACTCGCTCGCTCGCTCGCTCGTTCGCTTGCTTGCGCCTTCCATTAATATGCATTTCTCTCAGCAGGTTCATATATAGACCAATATGATACAGAGGAACAAACGAAGTCAAAGAAAGAGAGGGCGTACGATCGGTTTAGATCGTCTGAGGGGTGTGCCAGCTCGGCACATCGTCATCGTGGTGGCAGGAAGAGCTACTGATGCTCGACGGTGCGATCAAACAGCAACGAACGATCGCGGCGGCGGCGGCGGCGGCGCGAAATCCCGAACGAGCCTTGTCCCGTACAGCTCGTCTCCTCTCGTGCTGCTCCAACGGGGCCCGGGCCCAATCTCACGCGCCGGTGCAATCGATTTCGATGATGTCCTTCGGCACGTCCACGAACTGATAGACCAGCCTCTGTCCGTCGACCTTCGCCAGGATGCCGCGCTGGTAATAGTAACGCAACGCTCGGCCCATCGTCTCGTAGTTCATGTCCGGTTTGTTTTTGTGCAGTCCCCAGAGTCGCGAGACCGCCTTGCTGTCAACCAGCTTGAACACGCCCCGTTCGCGGTTCGTCCATTTGATATACCGTGGACAGTATTCCCGGTCCTGGAGCAACTTCAACAGAAACTCCCACAAGTACGTGGTCGAGCCCTCGCGAGATTTTCTCTTCACGGCGGCCCCGTCCCCTTGACGAGGTTTCTTCAGTTTGTTCTTCTTCGTTCGCGGCGGGAAGCCCAGCTCCAACAGGTACAGATCGTCGGAGACCGAGCTGGTCGCCGCTTGAATCACGCTTGTCGGTACACCGCCGTGTCCCCTTGGCGGGCTCGGTGTGCACGGGGTTGCGAACTGACCGCCGCTCGCGTACATCGAGTTCACGTAACTGCTGTAACTCTCGGATACTGGAAACAAAGAAACGAGAGAATTCGTTTAGTATCGCAACGGTTTCGATCGGATTTAAGGAGGCAGCTTGTAGCGTGCCGGTTTGTTACGGGCGAGGAGTTATCGACGGAAGTCGATGAAGTGTTTATATATGTATATGTATATATACATATACGGGAGAGGGGGTTTGTGCTTTTTCTTTGCCACATGTAATTACTGACCGCGTGTATACGTACATACGGTCGTTAATCGACCGGGCATTTAAATTGTTAATTGTAACCCGGCGAGACAGCGTTCACGTTTCGCGCGACGCTCGTCAGATGGCGCCACCGTGTATGCTGGCATTAAAGGGTAATGTAGATCATCGTGGGATATTAATTACAGGGATGAATCCCGGTTATTATATTTTTCACCATTGAAGTATGGAGCGGAGTCTCGTTATCCACGACGGACGAATGGAATTTAGTGCGATGCAACCTCAAGTATTTTATACCCGCGCGCGTTAATCAAAGTCAATTTACCGTGTGGATAATTCTCTGTATAGATTGGATTTGAATTACATCCTTACATCCTATCCTGTTTTTGCTCCGATACGCGCTATTTTTAACGAGACACTTGTAAAGCCTCGGGAAATTCTACGCTGTAAAAGAAATTCTAAGCTTCGTGTTCTTTAATTTTTGCATTCGCGAGTTACCAAAACCTCGAGCGACTTACGTACTATATACCGGGAACACGTTTTTGTTTTTAAACTCGACGATAATAAAAAAAGACTCGCGGCTCTAGATCGCATAGAATCGAGGTACACACGAATCGCTATTGTCCGGTTGTTTCTGTATATCCTTTGTGTTCCCTAATGCTCTATTATACAGAGTGTCATGTGACTGGTGGTACAACCGAGTAGGGGTTGATTCTATGTGAAAAAATAAGTCGAAAATGTACAACAAAATTCTTACATTTGAGGCTTTGTTTTCGAGAGAATCGACTTTGAAAATTACACGCGTGTATTCATCCTACGGTAGTAAGTAGAAACGGCATGCAATGAACAGACGCGCCAGTCAAGTCCCATTCAATTGCACGCGTATTCAATAGATCTTCGAAGTACCTTTTCTCAAAAACAAAGTCTCAACCGAAGAAAGTTTATTCTATATTTTCGATTTACTTTTTTCACGTAGAATTACCCCCTCTCAGGGTTGTACCACCAGTTATACGAGTGTATGTTCGGTTACCATGCAGATCGGTGCAGCTTAGCGAGTCTGACCGACACAGGGATTGACACTTACTGCGACAAAGTCTGACAATCAGGTATGTATTCCACTTAACCGCCTGTCTCGCAATAATCCCGGACATCTGATCGCCATTGTATTTTACGGTTAGTCGTCTCCTGTCTACCCAGCCAGAAAATCCTGCCCGATTCGTTACGCCTTTCGGACGTCTCTCTCACAGAGATAAATCTCCTCGAAACTCTGTTATTCGTCCGAGGCTAGCCGACGTGGTGGCATCTTAAGTATACACCGTATTCATCCGTGCAATGAACTATTAATAGCTCTGTCCGCAGAGCCATCGCTGCCGGCGCTTTGCCGTTTCTGTCACGGAATGATTGATTGCTTCGGAACAGAACTCCCGATAACGTTTTTTTTTTTTTTAATTTTTCCTTTTTTTTTCATTCCCTCCGCCACCGATCGATCTCGCGCTCCCCGGTGACTTCTTGGCGGCACTATACACGTGTCCCGTCGAGAATCGGATAGACGATCTACGGAACACACTGGGCAGGCCATCGTTTACGCACTCACGGGCCGGGGGAAGTTATTCTCGCGTTGGGCACACGAGAAACAACGACGACGACGACAACGACGACCCTGACGTCGTACGCCCATACGGACGCGAAATAATAACCCGCAGCGGCGGATTCGAGCGTACACCGGTAGCGTCTTCCCATGATCATGGGCGTAACGTAGAAGTCGATTGGGATTTTCAAAAGCGATTCCTTCTCGCTGGATAAGTGGTCCAGTTAATCCCCAATTTATTTACGACCTAGACCGTTCCCCTTTCGATCCTAGCGATGTTCAACTATGACTCGTGCGCGCGCACGTTTTCTAGCGATGAAAGTTAACAACGGCGTCTCGTGGAATCGCGGTCGGTGTTCCGCGAAAAGAAGGAACTCCTGGGAGGATGCCTCGAAATAGAAAGTATTCGTACGCCACTGGTCGTGTGGCGGGTCCCCGTCACATGTGTGTGTGTCCGCGCGAGCGCTGTGCGAAGAAGGAGAAGAGTGTGTAGTTGGCAGCCAGCCGGGGTAAAGAGACGAAGAGAGGGTTAAGCGGAGCCAAATGAAGGGGGCAGCAGCAGCAGCAGCAGCAGCACGAGATGGTAGAGAAGAGCAAGGGGAACCTTGCGCGAAGCACGTCGTGATGGAGAGTGAGAGACAGAGAGAGAGAACGGAAAAAGCGCGAACGGAGAAGGAGAGGGAAAACAAAAGGGGTAGGGGAACTCTGGCTGCAGTATGATAGAGGACTGACCCGAGCCAAGGTTGCACGGGTGACGCCATCAAGCTACTAGTGCATAATAGCGCCGCCTCGTTCGGAGGCCGCCGCGACTGCGCTAAAATCGGAACTCGTTCTACCCTCCTCCTCCTCCTCCTTCCTCCACCTTCCTCCACCCTTCACATACCCAGTGTTGTCGAGCGTCACTCTCTCTTTCTCTCTCTTTCGCCACCACACGTCGTTCACCACGTATATGTATGTAGTTCCGTAGAGGTACCGCGGCGGTTTAACGGCGATTCCTTCTCTTCTCTCTATTCGAGAAGCTTTTCTCTGCTTCCGAGCAGCCGGTACATAGGTATACCGGGTGAGGAAACGGCACGTAAAAAAGCAAAATTGCGTGAGAGAGAGAAAGAGAGAGAAAAGGACGGAGCGAACGAGAGAGATAGGCGGACAAAAAGACGGGAAGGCAGGGAACCGAATTCTCGAGGAGCTTCTAAAAATAAAGAGAACGCGCTCCGTTGTTCTTCTCAGAGATCCCTGTGTATGTGTGTGTGTTGTGCATTGACGATAGAACAGAGAGAACAGAGAGACGTCGGAATAGAGATATGTAGGGGGAGAACGATAGGGGTAAAAGAGAAAGATAGAGAAAGGGAGAGGGGTAAGGAAAGAAGACAGAGGAAAAGGGGCAAGGGAGAGAAAGAGACGGAACGAGAGTGGATTCCGAGAGCAAAAGAGCACGAAGAGAAACAGCTGGAGCGGATCGTGTTTACGCGCCGTATGACTGGCTAGATGAGTCAATCGTAGACCCGTTGTCTAGGAGCCGGTTGGTGGGGGAGCCACTACTTCACTGACCTATACCACAGAGACGTCGTATAGCAGCGAAGGGAGAGACCGCTAGAGACGACGACGATGCGCATCGCGCACGCATGACTGTTCCCAGTGACGCATATATAAGACCTCTCTACACACCACCGTTCCTTCTCTATCCTTGCATAGATACAAACCGTCGAACGGAGACAGACAGACAGGTGGTAGAAAGAGACGCCTGGCGCTATGACGATTTTCTATTGACGCTCGATACGTTTGCGCAATAGAAATGCCAAGCTGGAGGAAACTGTTACGAGATCTCGGACTCGCGACCGCGATTAACAAGTTTTATGCCGTATACCTAACATTCTCCTGTCGAGACACACTTGAATGCCTGATGATCGAATGGTATTCTACGATACTGTTTCGTCGTTGTTCCACCGACTTCGGATAGAAAGGTGATTCCACGACGAAAACGAAGATCAAACGAACAAGTGGCTTTAGCGCCTCAATGCTTTCGTCGACGACACGGTACATCTTCTTCCTTGATACCAGCGACAGGAAGTTTAGGCGCAAACAGCCCGATAACCAGTCGATAGTTAAAAATACGTACAACAGAGGAACACAGGCCCGGTGGAGTAGAGCGTGGCTTCGGGGAGTTATACGCGGAGCCGTTGTACCTCCCCGTTTATTTTGCGAGAGAATTTCGCGCTAGCCTCGCGGCCGGAAGTACAAGTATAGCGAGAAAGGGGAGGGGGGATAGAGAGCGAGAGAGAAAGAGAGAGAGAAGGAAGCGGGAGGAGATGATCTTCCTTGGTGGGGGTATCCAGGAACGTACGAATCGGAGTGGTGGGAAGAACGGGATAAAAAGACCTACTATACACACTGAAAGTGAACACGACAGAGAAGAGTCTCTTTGTAGAAAACGGATTCTCGCGTACGATCGCCGGTCGCAGGAATCGCTTCGAATATTCGATACCACGGTGAAGAGTCACATGTCTATTCCACGATTTCGATGAATCTCGTTTAACTTCCAAAATTGTATTTAGAGGAAACACGATGCTCCAAAAAAAAAAAACGAACCCACGTCCGTTCTTCCGTGGGTTAATCGAGAGAAACATTCCATGCATATTTTTCCCGATGGTAATTCGTGACACCCTGTATCCATTTTATCAATCGTAAAAAGTCAAAGTGACAGCGGATCGGCGGTAATATTATCTTTTTCCGCGCGCCGACAGCAAAAATACACTCGTGGCCAATACCATAAGTGCTGATACAAGCCCGACGCGAGAGGCAACAAGAAAAAAAAAGAAAACAGTCGGTAGAGAGAGGAGAGAAACGCGATAGATACACACACCGTGGACGATGACGTTAATAGCCGTGAACCCGTGTCGTTTAACGGCGACGCCTCTGTACACCGAGTGCCATTATCGCGGACTCCGTACGGCCTGTCCAATTGGAGCTTCAGATACCACACAGAGGAGTTATCACGTCGCGATTTGCCTTGGCGAGAGGAGTTACACGCTGTACTCAATAAACGCACCGTTATTTCTTCCCGAGACAAACGACACGCTCGATATCGCGGTCGTGTGTAAACATTGTTTCGCCGAAATTCGATCGTGACATACCGAGGCAACAGCGAAATAACGAAATTTCATCGCGAAACTTCGCCGAATCTTTGGAAGATTCATGTTCTCGAAAAATAATTGTCTCTACGCCCCGCGGGATTCAGA